CAAATAAAGGGATCTACTGGCAACAGGGTCTTTGCTGACAGCTTTAGCAGCCTGGGATCAAATGCCTACCTTGCCAGTTGCAGGCCATGTCCTTCCTCTGTGCTTTTGAGAAAGACCTCTTGGAGGCCCCTCCCTTCTGTTGTCTGAAGGGATGTTGGCACTTTACGCTTTGACTGGTCTATGGTCTTTGCCTGTAGACATCAAGGAATATCTCCTTGACTTGAGAACTGGATTTAAGTTTCACATTCCTGCTGTTTTAAGCCCATTTTTCTTTGTTAGAAAGAGGGAATAGACAGGGACTGAATGTATCTTTTCAATTTGACTTTATGATTGCAGAAGTTTTGGGATTTAGTCAAGACTTGCTGCCATCTCATTTAATCTTTAAAGGCATGCTACTAAGGTACAAACAAGAAGTGCCTCAGAGCAGTTCTGGCCAGCATGCAAAAGACAGTTGGTTTTTTACATAAAAGTATAGAAAACTCCTCTTCCATTTTGCTTTGGATTAAGCTCTTAGGGGTAGTTTTGGATGAGCTGGGGCCAGGAGCAGAATGATCGTGTGTGGGTGGTGGTTGGACCATTCCCCTGGCCCACGTGTGTCAGTGGGAGCAGGGGACAATGGTCTCTCCATCACTCAGCAATTTGTTGGTGTAATGCACCAGAGAAGCAGCTGTTTGATGCTCAATTTCAGTTCCCCACTCTCACGTCTACTGTCTCATCTTGATGCATGTTTGAATAGGGAGGCAGAAGTAAGTGGATGTATCCCTTTCTTGTCTTCTCTCTCCTTTCCTGAGGATCCCTTTTCTCTCTTCTGTTTTTGAAAGAAACTTGAGGAGGGGGAACAGGGAGTGATTCCTGTAAGCTGCTACCCCAGATCCAGGTATTCTAAACATCCTCTGTTACATCAGGACCATTTTGCCCATACAGGCGTATGTAAATGACCAGAAAATAATCAAAGCAATAGAGGAACAAAACCAAATGGAAGAAGATGATCGGATCAAAGCTCATTTTAAAGCAAAGGAAATTATTGCCAAGATGAGAAAAAAGAAAGAAGCTGAAATGCGTAGGTAGGTGCAATGCTAGAGTATAAATCATAAATGGTCTAAAAATTGTACTGTAGTTGTTTTCAGATCATTTGGACTAACAATATAACACAAGCAACAGTTATTCTAACACATTCTAAATTCTACTGATAGGGAGAGCAGGGAATTCAAGAGAAAAAGGAAATTTTTTTTCACAGGTTCCTTAGTAAGAGTGTGAGGGAGCAATCTCTCCACCTTTCAAAGTTCAGAGGCTTATGAAAGTGCAAAGCTTTGCACCAGTGTATTGAGAAGAGTGATTTTCCATGTAGCCTGCCAAATCTCCACCTCCTCAATAATTAAAGACAATTAAGATCCTTGATGAAAATATTTTTGAGTATAAGCTATATTTCTCTGAGTCAGCTCAAGAAAAATTATTTGACTTCTCAACAAGGCACAAACATTAATTAACTACATAATGTTCTTAAGGGGAGATCTTTTATCAGTTTAACATTCAGGGTACAATGTGATGATACCACTGAGTCAATCAAAGAGTTTTCTTCCCTTCCTGCTTCTAGCCAACATTCCCCTTCCGATGGCAAGGTGCTTTCTGGAATCCTTACTGAGTGATCCAGATCATTACTGCAAGAGAAACTAGTGATACAAGAACACTGGGAACATTTACTTCCTAAATCAGATGATATAAAAATAAACCGAACAGAAGGAACAGAAGGAGATAATGAGTTGGGTGGGTGGGCCAGCCTGTGTGGTCAAGAGGAGAGAACTCTAGAACCAGAACTGCTGAGTTTGGTAGCTTCAGGTAGACCAAGGTGTGTTGCCCTGGTATGTTATGGAAGCTCATGTTCTTCTGCAGACAAGTACAGGAACAACAGGACAAAATCATTAGTCGATTAGCTGAACAAATGGGTGAGGCACTAAAGAAGGAAGATGATCGACTGGCTAGAGATGTTGCAAGAAAAGAAGCTGAAGAAGAAAAAAAACGCAAAGAGAAAGAAGCAAAACAAAAGGCTGCTATTGAATCTATTGCTGAACACAGAGCCACTGCGGTAAGAACCTTGGGCTGATCTTACTTCTGCTTACCCCAGCTGAGGAGCCTGGCCCAGGCCACAGCTGGTGACTCTGGTGCCATGCATCAGCAGGCTTCAGCAAGCCTGCTGACACCTCTCCTGGAGCCCCTCTCCCTTTCTCCCTTCTGTGTTGGGTGCACCTCTGCCAGGGCTGCTGAAAGCGCTGGCCTTGGACACTGGCCAGCCACAGTGACCGTGCTTATCAGGGTGATAATGATTCAGGGCTGCTACTGGAGAGAGATACAACTTGAAGCTTAGCAGGCCAGCTCCTTGCTTAACTTTTGCGTGTTTTGTAAACTACAGATAAAGTTGAAAGAGGAAAAGGAGAGACAGGAGAAAGAAGAGGCTGAAAAAGAACGTGATGTGTTAATGGAAAAAGCCCGTATCCACCTAGAAATGGAAAACAACAAAAAACATGGACGAGATGAGGCAAACAGAGAAGTACAGAAAATTCAGCTCCAGCAAATAGTAAGTAGAAACCTGTACCCTGTCAATCTCTTCAAAAATAAGCTTGCACCTAAACCAATACACTAGTTCCACTGAGAGAAAGAGGAAGTTTGCTGTTTTGTTTGGATTTTATTGTTTGTTGGGTTGTTTTTAATCATATGTGCTTGGCACACACTGATGTTGGAGACCAGCTTCCTCAGAGCACTGGTGCAAATCAAGGCTGGTTTGCAAAGACAGATCGCTGTCCCGTCCTGTGCCATTATGACATTTTTTTAACCATTGCTGCTGTCCTCTTGTATCTTCTGGGCAGGTCACCAAAGAGCAGCAGCTAATGCTGATGTTCACTCAGCTATTTCATCTACCCTTTCTGGGGAGATAAGACAGGGGAGAGAAGTGGGGAGGGATGATAGGTGCCAAGTTTCAGCTAAGGATGCCATAAACCCTCTGTAAACTTTGACCCTCTCTCAGCTTTACAGAATGGTGATGTTGAGAACAAAATACTAAGCTTTGTTATTCCCTTTTCTTCATCAGGCTGAAAAGCAGGCAAGAAAAGAGCAGGAAAAGCAAGCAGAATTGGACTACAATGCTCAGAGAGAGGCTATTGCACTTTATAAAGAGCAAGAGTTTCAGAAATACGCAAAGGAATTAATTGAAACAGAATCCAAGACGACACATCATCTTTATCCTCTTCTCAAAGCATGTGAAGATGGAAGAGGACTTGGACATAGGCCATTTTTCTGAGAGAAGAAGAAATAAATACTAGTTTCCAAACATATAATTCTATGTTGGGACCCAGTTACCTTGTTGTAGCTGTAGTGCTGCTCAAGAAACAAAAATATGAAATAATATTTAAACTGTCCACCAAGGAAAGGCAGAAGCCATTTTCAAGTTAAATAAATATGTTTTTCAACCACACAGGCAGAGTTACACTGTAAATTATTGATATAAAATATATTCCATTAATATGGACTTCCATTTGAAAAAATAAGATTGCTGTATAACTCATTATATTCAAACATCCCCAGCCTGTATTTCATGAATGTTAGTTTATTAAACTTGAGACAGGAATTCATATTATATAATTGACTCTCACTGTAACCCATTCCAACCAAAAGCTCACTACTTCTATTTTTAACATTCATTGTTGTAAAAATTCACAGTCCCAGGTTACAACTGCATGAGACAAAAAAAAAAGAGAACATATGTGAAAGTTTGAACAGTTAGGATGTGCCGTTTTGGTATTACTTTGCAACTATGTCTGAAAAACAAATGTCATGCTACAATTCAGTTTTATTACATGAAAATATTAATGTAATTTGATCCCAGCCCTTAAAAAGTCACCAAAGAGGCAAATAGGTCCCAATGCAGCTGTAAATAGGGCCTACAAAATCAGCACAAGAGACAACATACTTGGGCTTCAAAAAGACTATCAGCATTTCAGTCTGTAAATGGATGTGATCTATTAAATAGGCAAATGGATGTGATCTAAAACTGTATCTCAGATTCCTCAGCAGATTTACTCACCAACACCCAAGCCACAGAGACTTTTCCCTCCTTAAGCTAAGGTTTCTTTCATTTCCTTGCCTTGGGAGTTAGGGGTTCCTGTAATGACTTCCTCCAGCAGCACCCTGGGTTTAAACAGGGTATCCCTCTATCCTGGTGTCCACTGGAAGCAAAGTCCAAGAAACCTGAAGCTTTGCTTTGTTGCGCCCCACAGCTGCCAGTCTCTGCTGGCCAGACCAGAAAATAATACAAGTCTTAAAAAAAAAAAGGGCGCTTGCCAATATTTTAGTTTTGAAAGTAGGTCTTAGGTGTGTCCTCAAGTTCCTTGGCTTAGCTGCCAAAAGCAGCCAGGCCTTGGAGAAAGCACAGGGCTTCGAGGAAGATGTGAGGCCACCCCGGAGGCAAGGTACCTCTAGGAAGCCGAGGGCCAAGCAGAACTGGCTTTACCTCCCCTACACTGTACAAACGCTGGGTGTAAGGTGGGTGCCGTCCTTCCCGGGCGCAGCAGCCACCTCCTCGAGGCGTCTTTTCCAGGCAAGGCAAGGGATGAATTCCTGGAAGGAGAACCGACCTCCTCATCCAGCTCCCAGGGCCGCCAAAGGCTCCGGGCCCCGACAACAGGCAGGCCTGGCGGGGCGAAGGTTCCTGCGAGGCGCGGCAGCGCACGGAGCCAGGCCGAGCGCCACGGCCGCGGCCCCGGCGAACCGGAGGGAGCGGATCGCGGCCGGAGCAGAAGGACAGAGGCGGAGGGGCCATTTCAGCCTCTTACCGGGCACGGACGCTCCGCGGGGAAACCAGATGTTCAGGAACCGGCTTCGGCGGATGGGCCGGCCTCCGGGGCTGGGGGATGGCAGCTCACTCCCCGCCCCTCCCCTCGCTCCGTGTGACGGACCGGACGCCGCCCGCCCGCAGCTCCCCGGGGCGGGGCCGGGCTGGGCGCGGCGCTGCTCCATCTCTCACGACACAGCGCCCGCCGCCCACTCGGGTGCCATTCCCGCCTCGGCGCCGGAACGATCTTGTGGCCACCGCCTTTGAGCGGAGCGGGAGAAGGAGCCCCCATTTCCCGGGAAGCAGAGCCGTCGGTGAGGATCCCTGCTTGTCCTTCGGCAGACGTTCCGTCTGCACAGAGGCGACAAAGAAGATCGACGATGGACCGCGATGGGCCGGACGCCATTCGACAGGAGGCGGAGGTGGAGCGCGGCCGCTACCTGAGCCGCCGGGCCGTGGCCCAGGAGCAGCTGGCGCAGTGAGTCCGGCGGCGGGGCTAGGGAGTGGGGCCAGAGGGTTTGGGTTAAAAACTTTACCGTGGGAAGCCCGGCCCGGGCGGGTCCCGGCTGCAGAGCCCGCCGAAAGGGGCGGCCCTTGGGCGCTGACCCGCGTTCCGTGCCCGGGGCTCCGTGACTCACAGCTTGTGAACGAGGGTTTTAGATCATCCTCACCTCGTGGTCAGATGGACATTTCCCCACCCTCTGTGATTCTGTTCTCCAGCTTCAGAAACGTCTCTTGCTGTCAGGGGTTATGTCTATCCCAACACATCCAACAAGACTGTTTCAATTCTGGCACCGAGAGCAAGTGGCTTGCCTCACTATTGCTGCTTCTCCCTGCCTAGAAGCCTTCACCCTTGCAGCTGGCATGGGCATCATGGCCGTGTCTTGCACGGTGCTGTGGCACTGCTTACAAGACTGCTTGCTGGAAAAGGCAGAGGTTGTACAGGGAGTGGGATAACAATAAAACAGGCAAATCAAATCCAGTCTAACATGTTCATGCTCACTTTTGCTAGTATAGACTTCCCTAGTGCCTTCAGACTGGAACTGAGCTTCGGCCAAACAATTTGGTGCTAGCTTATAGAAATTTATTCTGGTTTTGATCACCGATAGTTTAATTCGAAGTATCAGAGTTTTTTGCTGATAAGTACCCATAGATGTGCGTAATCTATATCTGTTCATTATTACTTCATGCTGTCCCTAGCTCATTTATTCACTTCCCTTTTCTGATTCAGAATACAGGAGCACAGGGATCAAGCAGATCTGGCTAAGCTGGAAAAGAGACGAGAAGGGGAATGCATACAGCGATCAAGCCAATTGTACCAACAGGAAATTCAGAGAGATAAAGAAAAGGATCAGGAGAAAAAAGTTGAATTACGGAGGCAGCATCATGTAAGTAGCAGGAAAGCAGACAGTTCAAAATATGTATTTCATCTTGACTGTGATGCCTGGACTCAGCCCACAGATAAATAGGATTATGGGTCACAGGGTTTGCGGACAGCTTTAGTAGCCCGGGATCAAATGCCTACCCTGCCAGTTGCAGGTCATGTCTTTCCTCTTTTGAGAAAGACCTCTTGGAAGTTTTAATGCGGCACCTGAGCTTGGACTGGTTTACAATGGAAAAGTCTGCTAGAGTCAGCAAGGAGATTGTCCTTGCTGACTTGAGAACTGGATTTAGGTTCCATGTACTTGCTCTGTTTTAAGTACATTTTTCTTTGTTAGGGAGAGGGAATAGCCTGAGTCTGACAATATCTTATAAACTTGGTGATGACCTACTTACCACACATACTGTTTTCCCGCCAATACCTGCTTGGGCAGGGAAACTGAAGTAGAGGTACTGTGATGATTCATTACCATGTGAGGGAGTAAAAGGAGAGAATTCCCACTAAAACCCTAGTTGCTTTTTTTCCTTCCATACTCCTCATCCCAAGTACACAAATTTCCCCCCAACCTTGTACGTGCAACAAAAGCTACACATACTGCCAAGCTGTACAAGAGCCATTTCTAAGTCATTACAAAATGCCTTATTTTGATGGTCTGCAGACTTATTGTTCAGCCCTTCAGAGTTTGCACCATATGAATGATACACAGGATGGCAGCAGTACAGTTGGAGCCACTGGGAATGTAGAGGAGAGAATATAAAGATGCTATAATCCTGGAGCCGCAACCACATACTAATTTTACTTCTGCTGTGGTTTGTGATAAGTAGATAATAAAAATTCTTTTATCTCTGGGTTTCTATCTTCTGTAGCTTCTTCACTGATGTAAATAACTCCTTATTACTGGCTAGCCTAAAGTATTTGCTAGGATTTGTTTTAGTTCATGTTTCCAAAATTTAGTTCTACGTGAAAATAAACACAGTTTTCCATTTAAACAGGAATATGTAGCTGAAAAGAAAATACTTAAAGCTGAAGAGAAACAAAAAGAAGACAAAGATGATGATCAGATTGAGGCTTATATTAAAGGAAAAGAAATGATGGCTGATCTGACAAGAGAAAAAAATGCAGAGACTAACAGGTGGGTCCAGGGATAATTTTCAGTGTTAAGATTCAAACTTGCAATTTCGTGACAAACGGTATTCTCAGTTGTTATATCAGCAAGATCAAAACTTTGATGCAAGTTTTCTGTAATTAAAACTTGGAGTAGGAAGTGCAGAAAAAATGCCTACCAGTTCCAGTAGTAAATGGTGGGGTGGAGGTAGAATCGCTGGTGTTATTAGAAGCAACAGGTAGCAATTACCTCTGGTAATCTGAGCAGATGTCACAGTAGCTCATGTTCTCCTGCAGGATGATAGAGAAGCAAAAGGACAAAGCTTTTGAAAAATTAGATGCACAGATGAATGAGAAATTTAAGATTGAAGATGATCGTCTTGCTAGAGGAGCTGCAGAGGTAGAAGTTGAGTACCAAATAAAAAGTAAAGAGAAAGAAATGAAAAAAACGGCTGCTCTGGAATCCATTGAAGAAAACAGAGTCACTGCGGTAAGAAAGGAGGGCTGTCCTTGTTCCTCTTTCTGTCATATACTTGTACATAGGAATAGGGTTTGGAAATGCCAGTTTCTAGCACAGTCATCTGGAGTGAGACACACATGCAGGTTCTCACCAGTTGCTTTTCATTTATCATCTAGAGTTTTAGAATTAAATCCTTAAGAAAAGGATTATCACCAGCATATATGGTGATCCTCTCTTCAAAAAAATTAGACTGGGAAGGCTCTGTAATTGTTTGTAATTTGTGCAAACTCTACACTGCTTACCCTAGCTGAGGAGCCTGGCCCAGGCCACAGCTGGTGACTCTGGTGCCATGCATCAGCAGGCTTCAGCAAGCCTGCTGACACCTCTCCTGGAGCCCCTCTCCCTTTCTCCCTTCTGTGTTGGGTGCACCTCTGCCAGGGCTGCTGAAAGCGCTGGCCTTGGACACTGGCCAGCCACAGTGACCGTGCTTATCAGGGTGATAATGATTCAGGGCTGCTACTGGAGAGAGATACAACTTGAAGCTTAGCAGGCCAGCTCCTTGCTTAACTTTTGCGTGTTTTGTAAACTACAGATGAATTTCAAAGAGGAAAAGAAGAGAGAGGAAAAAGAAGAGGGTAAGAAGGATCGTAATCAGTGGATGGCAGAAAACGACGTCTACTTGGAAATGGAAAAAGCCAAGAAACAAAGACAGCGTGATGCAAGCATGGAAGTACAGAAATTTCAGCTCCAGCAAATGGTGAACAGAAGAACTGTATACTGTCAATCCCTTCAGAAAGAAGCATACTTATAAATCCATAGTCCTAGACCTCTTGGGCAGAAGAGACAAGGGGGAGGGAGGGAGACAGAGAGAGAGAGAAAGGTTGCTGTGGGTGTGATGTACATCTTTTGTGGAATGAGAAGGTTACTGCTGAAAACTTGACAATGCACAATACACATTTCAGAGGTTAATGGGCCTCCTCTTAGAGCAGTAGAACAGAAGCCTCTTCCAGGTGGACTTGGCCCATGTGAGTCAGGGAGGATTACTGTGAGGGCTGGTAATAAGAGATCAATAAGGACCAGTCACATCCTCTCCTGTGCCGTTATGACATTTTTTCAACTATGCACTGCTGTCCTCTTGCATCTTGTGGGCAGGTCACCAAAGAGCAGCAGCTAATGCTGATGTTCACTCAGCTATTTCATCTACCCTTTCTGGGGAGAGAAGTGGGGAGGGATGATAGGTGCCAAGTTTCAGCTAAGGATGCCATAAACCCTCTGTAAACTTTGACCCTCTCTCAGCTTTACAGAATGGTGATGTTGAGAACAAAATACTAAGCTTTGTTATTCCCTTTTCTTCATCAGGCTGAAAAGCAGGCAAGAAAAGAGCAGGAAAAGCAAGCAGACTTGGCCTGTGATGCTCAGAGAGAGGCTGCTTTTCATCGGGATCGAGCATTTCGGAGATAAAGGCAGTGAGTAACTGAATCAGTGCCATTACTGGATGTAACTTCTATTCTCTCCAAACATTCAAGGAAGGAACAAGATGTGGGCTTCCTAATTAGGACAACTGCAAGAATGGTGGAGTGGATAATCTGAAGTATTAAAAACAGTAAAAACTGGGGGGCGGGTGGGTGAAGATGGTTGATGCAATGCTTTCTTGCCTTGTATATGAGCTCCCAGCTTGCTCAGGACTGAGAAAATATTTGGTATTTTGCCACGACTTTTAGAGCCTGCTTTGGCCCTCATAGCTCTGCCTGAGGGCAGGGCCAAGAACTCTCCTCAGGGCCAGCACAGACTTTTATTGTCTTGGTCAGTCCTGCTGTGGTCTGGGTGGCTGCATTCTTTTTGGATAGAAGAACATGGCTGGGTGGAGCTGAGTCTTTACCCGTGTCAATTAGCATGGCTCATTATTCTGTAATGTGAACCAAAGCACAGTAAATAGAAACATGAAGACTTGTTTCAAAACCTCACTTCTGACCTAAAGTAAAAGACCAACATTGCTGCACTATCAACTAAAAGCCACACAGTTCTCTCCAATTATCTTGGAGTAGTTAATTTTGAAAATTACATACTACAAAAAGAAACATGACAATTAACTCGTGAAATTGTCCCTCAGTACTTTTTTCCTTCATTCACTAATGAAAAATTTATTTCCCTTCTCTCTGAGCCAGTGCTCATTTTATTACATCAAGCTTCTTTGCAGCAAGCAGAAAGAATGGAAACTTTTATAAAAGCCTTTTGATGGCAGAAGCTGGAGCCTTAAGAAGTACTGACTACAGCAGGAGTGGTGCTGAAACCTGCAGAGCTCGCTAATGCTCCAAATGCATCCTTAAGTGCAAATTTGCACATGCTCACTACTATGCAATTGGTGAGTTAAATGGGTTTTTAGTCTACTTCTACAGCAGCAAGAAACAAGGTGGATTGCAGCCTCATTTCCTACTCAGCTTCCAGAAATGTCCTGTTCTGCAGATTACGTACGTCTACATTTGAAGTCGACAGCCTGCTTCCATCAGGCTTCTACTTCTTTTACTTTGAACATCTACTGAAAACTCATCAAACCCAGTAAACTCTAGTACCAGAAAACAACTCTTCGTTTCAGTACACCTAGAATAAAGTGGGAATTCTGTGTATTTTTAAAGCATGTTGGCTAAATATAGATTTAGTTACCCAAATTCAGCATGAAAAAAAATCCAGCAGCAACCACGATCTCAATTTATTCTCTTGACTCTGAGATGTACATACTTTGTATGCTTGTTTTAAATAACTAATTCTAGTTAGTAATTTTCTGTAAAACCTCTGTAAAGCATAGTATGATGACACTAGATCAGAATGGCCAGAGGTAGTGGAACGTTGCTGGTAAAAGGTGTCCTGTGTAAGCAGGAGACTGGTCTAGCTGCTCAACAGAGTCCTTTTCAGCTGCCATTTAAAGATAGGGAGATTAAAATACAGGGAGATGAACTGCAGCTGATAAGAAGGGGAATTGTTGACCTGGAAGAGTCTACTGATTGAGAGGTACCTCTCACTTAATGCCTAGGGCCACTCTTGTGTTAGTTATTAGCTGGAGTCACCATTCCCAAAGGTATTTAGATGTGTTCATGGTGTTTAGGGACATGGATTAGCTAGGGTTGGACTTCAGTACTGGGTTAACAGCTGAACTTGATCTTAAAGGTCTCCTCCAATCTAAATTATTCTATAAAGTTTTAAATAATAGCTAGCAAGTCAGAAAATGCTTTGAGAAAGAATTTGACTAGTAAATTTTAATGATTGGTTTTGTTCAAAAAAGCATCCTCTCAGATATTGTTCTGCTACAGGACATTGCAGCAGGTGAGAGTCATGACAGATATTAGCCTTATTTGAAGACCAAGACCTTAGAAATGCAAGGCAATCCTCAGAGGGACTGAAACAGAGACCTTAAATCCAACTACATTTTTTCCACACTTGTGATCCAATTCTGGAAATAGAACAGCAACTTTAGTTTGAACATGTGGGCCTCCAGTGTCTAACATGGTATTCCCATGAGTATTTCAACTCACACCTGTGTGGCAGTACACATACAAGAGTACTGTTCTCATGGATCTAATACAACTCCTCCCTAGGAAATGGAAGAGAACAGCTCTCTAAAATGCCTTATATCCTAAGGGAATTTGAATTCAATAACTGCAGCTCTTTACTGTTAGGTAGTGTTCCAGGCTGGAGTTACTAGGTCTGTGCAAAGTCTTTTCGCATGAGTCTTTGTTACCAGTTAGCTCTGAGGAAGTTTGAAGAAGATACATACCTGGAAACAAATGGCCCATGAACAGAAGAGCTGGCAATATGGGACTATCAAGGATGAACATTTTCACATCCCAATACAGACCTGCTCCATACTTCTGAAAAAGAAAAAAAAAAAAAATTTCAAAGCTTCCTTGTCAGGTCAAATAATTTACTCTGTTTCAACAGTTAAATTCTTTCAAATGTCTGTTATTAACTTAGGCCTTCCTGTTATCTTTTGAATGGAAGAGTGCTCTAACTAGTCTGTAATCTTCCTTGTTCTGGCAGTGCATCCTTGTTTCTCATACTAATCTTCCTTCCCATTCAGGCAGTGTATTTCTGAGAGATAGAAAATTCACCACCTCAAAATAGCATGCAAAAATCCCCATAATCAGTGAAAGCTAAGATGGTGGAGAGAGGTGAAGGTGAGAGATTAGAGAGGACCATATGAGATGTTTTCTTAATTTCTTTCTGTTTAGAATAAGTTGTGGTATAGGCTTTGTCAAGCTTGTAATCTGTGAAGTCATTGCTTTCATACTACTACATTCCCACCACTTTAAGCTAAATTTCTTTTTGTTTTGGTATATCATGGCTTTGATATTATTAGATATTTAAGTGAATACATGAATGATTCAAATCTGGCCTCTGATCTGGTAAACCAATCTCTAACAAGCAGTCTTAAAGCAGAGCTGTTTGTAGCTTGCTGACACTGTTTTGTATAAACCAGCACAGTGCTTTGTTTTTCTGTAGATTTCCTCAGCTTCAATACAATAGCCAGAGAAATTAACTATTCTCTTGGGTACTGAAGGGCTGGAACATCAGAACTGCAGGTCCAGTAAAATTCAACACTGCATCTCTGTTAACATAGTAATTGCACACACACCCCCCCACAAGGAGTAGCATCTGGTCTGACTCCTTTTCTGTGTAAAAGGAAAATAAGCAAAGATTAGAAAGAAAAAGTAACATCTAGTGAAGTGTGTTAATGAGCAGACCAAAAAAAATTCCAACAGTTGGCACAGTGGACAAGGGCAAAGTTTGGAACCATCTTTGGTAAAGCTTCTAAGTATTTCTGCATTAGTTTCAGCTACAATCTCTCAGTGCATATACAATTAATAGAAGCTACTAATTATACACTTAAACTGTTTCTTTTTTCTTCAGAAAACTACAGAAGCATCTACAAAGGAGTAAGAAGCTAGCCACTCACTCCTTCCAAGTTCTGTGTGCCTGCAAAACCAATCAGTGCCCAAGAGCAGAAGCTAACTGTGGACCAAGTTACAAGACACGCTATTTGCTATAACCTGCCTATAACTCAAGCTCAAGAAATAAGTGCCATAGCTTGCAACTGCACTGTAACTAATTTTATTATGGAACAAAGCAGTAGATTCTTTTCAGAAAGTCAAGAGGTAACAACCAAAGGTAAACTATCAGTTCATCTGTACTGTACTTGAATATTGCTGGGCCTCCAGGCTTAACTCAGACCTTCTGTTTTGAAAAAAAGAAAAATCTTACTGAGCAAATAGAATTGGGTACATCTGTCTGTAAGAATAAAATCCATGTTGACTGTACCTTTTATTTGTGAGAGTTTTCTACTTACTTTTACTTTGGAGACTGCAACCGAAGGTAGAAACAGGATCTTGAGATCTTGTGGCATTGTCTGAGTCCTTTAATCCTTTATGGAAGATGTTGGCAGCAAGACTGTATCTACCACTCCACCTACCCTGACAACACCAAATGGGAAAAACACTTTCCTGTTGTCTCCTAAGCACTCTGCTGCCAACCAGCCAGGCTGCGATACTGCTGTAGGTGACTTTTTGATTGAAAGTTGCTTTTTCAGTCAGTTATAAACTTGACTGTAAGCTGTGCTCATTCCATTTATGTTCATATTGAACAGAAATTTCTTCTGCAACTAGTGAAAACTATTCTGCTTCACATTTAGACACACATACAAAGACTTGTATTTTTTCAAGTAAAAGACCATAGTTGGCAACAAGCAGAGTTTGCAATTAGACACTGGGTCAGCTTCATTACATGGCTGCATTTTATATGCCACAATACAAACTAATAGACTGTCATTTGGTATTTGGTCATAGAAATTAACACATTGCATCTACTGTTTGACACTATCATCTAATGTAACAAATCTAACTTCACATCTTCAGTAAAAAATTATCGATCTTGGTTTAACTGAGGAGGTAATAACCTGAGATCAAATCACTCTGCCTTGTAAATCTGTACTCCAAGCATCAGCACGTCAGAAGGCTGGAGGTCGGCCAAGCACATTTACCCTGAGATGAGCTCACTTGGTCAGAGCATGGTGCTAAAAACGCTGAGCTCATGGGTTTGATCCTGTATGGTCCACTCACCTAAGAGCTGACCTGATGATTCTTGTAGGACCAGCTTGGAATACTCTGTGAATTTACAAGCACAGGTTGCAACATATGACTTAGAAACAATTATTTCTCTAAATGCAGAAGATGCTAATATTGCAAGAAGCACATGTGGCAGACATGGAATACTCTAACAAATAAGTAAAAAAAGCATTTATTTCTGAGAAGTATTTTAGTACACAATTTTGTACATTTCAAATCAAGAATTCATTCTCCCAGCTTACAACTAGATAATTTTCCCTGTTATGAACTATAAATTACAAAATGTCCAAAAGACTATGATTAATTACAAAATACTTTGATAAATACTGCATGCACAATACTGCTGGTATAATTAACAATTATTTTAGCTGAAGGAACCCAGCTATCAGCTAGTTCCTCCTACCATTGCTCAGAATTTAGTATGCCTAAATTCTTTCCAATCTTTTCAATCACTCTTTCCAATAGTAGCTGTGGCTGAAGCCACATAGAGATTACCTTTTACAATGGGGGTATGTAGCCATGTCTAACTTCCTGCTAAAAATAGCAAGTTTCCTGAAGTGCTTTACATACTGCAAAATTTAAATTCAAAATCAGAGTGCTGCATTAATTCAGCTTATTTACTCCTTTTAATGTCTTAGAACTTCCATGAGTACAAATATAAATTTAAAACCAATCATATGCATATTCAGCAGTTCAAGATTTCTCCTCTGAACTTATGCATGTTAACTGCCCTATTAGTTTTATTTGAACAACAACTGTTTAAGGAAAGATACTGATTTAATAATATTTTCACAAAATATACCTTTACTTTTATCTAGTTTTACTATCAACACTCATCACTTTTTTTATATATTTTATTACTGCTATTCCTTTTGTGAAATTTCATACTAGAATTAAACAACTTATTTTCATATGATACTTAAAAACAAACAGATGAACATTACTTTTGGCCTTTACACGAAAAGGTTTTGTTGCAACAGCGTTCCTAATGACATGAATTGTTCAAGGGTGAGAAGTAGGAGTTAAACTAAAAGTACACAAGCACCAAAATGGAAAGCTAAAGTTTTCTGCTAGGCAATTGCAGAACTGCAGTAAATTCAAATTTTGCAAAATGCAGTTCACAGACTTTTTGATATGCATTTTCTTTAATAGTTTAGTTAAATACTGCATTATGAAAATGACTATTTTCAGCAAAGGGAAGGTACATAACAGTTCTTTACATTTCCATTACATCGACTCTAGAAATGTGGCCAACCATGCCCCCCCTGCACAAAAAAACCCCTTCAAAACACCAAAAGGAAATTAACAATCCCTCCAAAAAGAACACTTTCATGGCTGCTGCTTTTATAGAAGCATAGTATGTATATCTTTAGGTTTTCTTTTACAAGGAAAGTCCTAAAAGCAGGAATATACATTTTTGCTTATCAGAAAAACAATGAGTCTACTATGCCCCCAGAGGTGTTTCCAAAAATACTTTATTTGCTTCAATAAATCAACAGTTCCAGAAAAGGCAGCTAAAGGACTGCTTTCTTTTGTTTACATTAACCTAAAATCCATTTGCCAGGCTGACACTATTACAAATCAGACATTATTGGGGATCACTGCAAATTCTTCAACGCATCTGACAAAGAACACTGCAAGAAAAGCCTGTAGTCTGGAATTTCAAATACAAAGTGCAAAGTTTCAGGCTAAAATTCTAAGAACCAAATAGAACAAAGCATTAAAATGTAACCATTGCCTTTTTGCTTTCTTAAAAACAACCAGCTGAAACAAACAACAACTGAAACACTATGGCTGTGTTAAAGAATTAGCAGACAGCAACACATTTTTTACGGGTAATAGTGTCTACATAACTGCACATTCTATCTATCCATCCTCAGCAAGAATTTCTGCTTCTGAGTTGATGGCAGTACCCAGAGAATCCAGCATAAACAGTCTGTTTCTAACAAAGTTTGGAAAGCCAATGTCAGTTACAAATTTAGCATTCCAGGTATCTTTATGTTGCATGGTATTAGTAAAATCTCAGCATAATATCTATTGTAGATACAACAGAGAAAGCATGTCTAATCTCTGGAAGTTATTTCAAACCTGTATGGACACTTGAACATACACTTACAAAGTTAATCAGTAATCCCTGCCCTCACTTTACATTGTGTATTGGGGTTCATTAATTCCCAGGAATAAAGTCAGTTCTGGGGCACCAGCAGAAAAAGCTGCATTCTACTTTTTTCCCGCATTCACAGCGAAAGATCACAAGCATTGTTTTTACTGCCTCTGGAACACTTAAATTCTTCCAAACCAGTCCTCTGAGCCACAGGCCAAGAATGACCTGACACAGATGTCGAAGATGGCACTGAGCTATACTGTGTCTACAGCACAAGGTGACTGCTGTGAGGCTGAGAACAGGAAAGCTCTGTCACTGAGGGAATAAACAGGCTCAGGACTGCAAGAGCAACACTCAGTGCCTCCTGACAAGGCAGCAAGAACTGACCAGTGCTTGGGGACATCTTGCTGTCCCTGGGATTGGGCTTTAGTCCCAAGTTCTTAAGCAACATTCTCAATTTTCAATTTGATAAAGAAAAGCGCAAATCTAGCAAACCTTCCCTTGTAAAAGATTGCAGTTGTGTTTCTGTTTAAAGAAAGTGCTCAGCACTAACCCAATTTACCACCGAATACAACACAGGCAACTGTATCCCACCACCTGCAATTTAGTGTAGCCAGCTTTTAAACAAGACCCAAGTACGTTACAAAAAAGAAAATGGGCTTTGTGCCACCAACTCAGATGAATTTTTAATGTGCTGTGAAAGAATTAAAGTCCATTTAAGTTGCGCAAATAATTTTCTGAAATGTAACAAAGTCCATACAAAAGGGTATGCAAGTGCGTATTTTAAAAGAAATAGCTACAACTGCAAACTACAATTGGATTTAATATCCATTTTGACATTCTAAACTAAACACAATTAAAAAAATATATTCTATGGATTGCTGTATTGCTGACTGCCTGTATTTTCCCCTCTTCTTCTACAGCAGAGTCAGTATAGTTGCGGATTGTTGTGTTTACATGCTTATACAAGCTTCAGTGATATTGGCAAGAATATTCTCAGTAGCGCAAATAAATTTCTTCAGCAATAGCTTGCTCATGTGTCAGCTCTATTTAAAATAATGAAACAACATTGCAAACAGTTTTTAAATGAGACTCTGAAGCACATGGCATGCATAGCACATTATAAATGCATGGTTAAGATGCCACACAATTTTCTGAAGTCTAACTTCCTACCCTTACTCTTACTACAGTCCCCCAAAGTAGGACTACAACTTCTCCAAAGTTCTACAAAGTTCAGAGATCCACTAAGCTTTTCGGCTCACTCCTCTGATTTCTCTTAAGTAACTGCTGTGTCATTCACCCACAGGTGGACCAGGAACATTTTTAAACCTTCTGCGTAAAATGACCACCAAAATGCAAAATCCATAGGAGATGTTTCTAAAACACAGCAAAAAAGTAAAAAAGTACTTGACAGCCAAAGCAGCTCCAGTAACTATTCTGCTAAAAAGTCACTCTACACACTTGTAGTTTTCTTCCTTGGAAAACACTGCTTATCTTGCTCACAATCCTAGGTTTTCTTTTGCTTTCAAGACACAACAATTTTTCTTTAGAATAACAAATGTCAGGATCACAAGATCAAGCAAGCTTTGGCATTTCTCCTAATCTGCTGTAAACAAACACTGATCACGAAGTGAAAATGTTAACAAACTTATTACCAAGACAGTAAAAGTGAGTTGTTTCATCTAGTGAAAGATTTGGCAAAAATTTAAACAATATTATTTTGCTTTGACACAGTTTAGGATTAATGCTTGTCACTTCCCTTTACGACTTTCAAGATTTGCCAGTCATAGATGTGAATAGTTTCATGGACTGGAGCGTTGGGATTTCTACCAAATCTATCCTTCAGACCACTGCACTGAGTCACCACATACCAGCTGCTCTTTGGGGACTGCACATATGGGGGCACTGCTGCAGCAGCACAAGCCAAACTCCTTCTCTTCCACGTGAAGGTGTAGTGGTGAAATACAAACTGGGGTGGGACCTAGAGGCAGGAGAGGAAAGCAGAAAAGGGAAGGAATTGGTTTGAGGGACAGTAGAGAATGAGAAGGAATTCACAGTTACATTCTTTAGAATGAGGGGAAACA